TTACAACAAAGCTTAAACTTGTTCTTCATAATAATTTTAAAAACAACACTAGCTGCTTATTTCATTTTAAAAACAGCAAAAAATATCCACCTCCTTTTCCATTTCTTATAAGGAGTCTTGAAGTTTAAATCTCCTCAATGTGATAGATAGGCTTGCTTTGATCTGCTTAGCTCTTGGAAGTCCAGGGGCTCCGGGCTGCTGGCCCCGTGCTGCTCGGGGTCCTTAGGGACAGCTCTGTCCGCCATTAGGGATTTTTTCCCCCGAGAACCCCCTGGAACATTTTGCGAACCCCCAGGGGTTCACGAATCCCAGTTTGGGAATCACTGGTCTAGAAGATACCATCAGAGATGCTTAGGGTATGTGTATGTGTACACTACAAAATTAGGTCGAATTTATAAAAGTTTATTTTCGTAGGAAGCAATTTTATACAGTCGATTGTGTGTGTCCCTACTAAGCACATTAAGTCGCATTAAGTCAGCGGAGTGCGTCCACAGTACCGAGGCTAGCATCTAGTTTCGGAGCGTTGCACTGTGGGTAGCTATCCCACAGTTCCCGCAATCTCCGCCACCCATTGGAATTCTCAGTTGAGCTCCCACAATGTTTTGATGTTGCCCCATCAAAAACATTGTCGCGGGTGGTTTTGGGTACACATCATCAGTCACCCCTCCCTCCGTGAGAGCAACGGCAGACAATCGTTTCGCGCCTTTTTTCCATGCAGATGCCATACCATGGCAAGCGTGCAGCCCGCTCAGCTCAGCTGCCGCTGTTGTGTCCTGGGTGCTGCTGGCAGCAGACGGTACAATAGGGCTGCAAACCATCGTCATGCTTCCGCTGCCACTCTGCTCTCCTGCTCTGGCAGCTGATGGTGCAGTAGGGCTGCAAATCATTGTCACGCTTCCGCTGCCACTCTGCTCTCCTGCAGATGTCATGGAGCCCGCTCAGATCACTGCGGCAGTTATGAGCACTGTACACACCTCGCGCATTATCCTGCAGTGTATGCAGCACCAGAACTTGCAAAAGCAGGCAAGGAGGCGACGGCAGCGCGGTGATGAGGACATGGACGCAGACTTTTCTCAAAGCACGGGCCCTGGCAATTTGGACATCATGGTGGTAATGGTGCAGGTTCATGCCTTGGAATGCTGATTCTGGGCCCGGGAAACAAGCACAGACTGGTGGGACCACATAGTGTTGCAGGTCTGGAATGATTCCCAGTGGCTGCGAAACTTTCGCATGTGTAAGGGCACTTTCATGGAACTTTGGGACTTGCTTTCCCCTGCCCGAAGCACAAGAATGCCAAGGAGCCCTC